TTAGTGTGACATCAAACCATTTGTTGCACTTAAGCTTAAGTGAGGTATACATACATTCCTCGCAATTCGGCTTACTTGAGATGTTCAAACTTTTGCCGCACTTCGGCCTACTTGAGATGTTCAAACCGTTATTGCGCTTTGGGTTGCGTGAGGTGTCCAAAACTTTGTTGCACTTCGGCAAACGTGGGATATCCAAACCTTTGTTTCAATTCGGCCTACGTGAGATATTCAAACCTTTGTTGCCGCTTGGCTTACGTGAGATACACAAATGCTTTAGCTGAAAGGCCGACCACGTCTCTGAGTCATCAAATCTAATCTGAGGGGTCTAAACTAAATGACAAAATGCGACCATTGCTCCCAACACCCGGCAGATTTCGAACATGTTACATTGTCGCCGTGCGATGCATTTCTATCCTTTTACACTGTCCCAGTGTGCGGCATGCCACCAACGATCATGTCCTTTGAGCTTACCGAAGCAGCAGAAGAGACAGACGACGACGGCCAGCAGGCCAACGGGCCTGGTGAGCGGTGACATGGCGGCGCCCTCTGTGTGACTCGCCTGTGCCCAGTCGGAGCTGACAGTGTCGGCGACGTGTCCACACTGTCCATGTTGTCCGGGCGCCGCTGGCAACGGCATGTGATGACTTATTCAGGTACAGCGATCAGTGACGGCTCCCACGGCGACCTGTCCGCCACCTGACGATTCCCACGGTCGAAGGCGGCTTTTTAGAGCCACGGCGCTGAGTACATGAGGAGGAGAGCTGGTTTGCTTGCGACTCGTGTTGGTAGGTGCGTGATCTGTGATTTAGGCCGCTAAACTCAGGGTGATATTGGTCATTTATTCGGCACGAAGTCCCTTACTTGCTCAGAGAACGGTATAACACCATGTGCCGAAGACTTAGGAGTCAATTAGGATAGCCTCAATGCAAAATCTGTTTGCAATCCTATTTCCTGGAGAGTCATTCTTTCGCAGAAAGGCATTCTTCAAAGCTCGAAATGTTGTGAGAATTTTGCATCTGGTACATTTCAAGCTTGCTTCGCCAGCCACCGCCGGACCAGAGGCTTCAGAGCCCCATTGAGGACTAATAGGTACGACCTTTGAACCGTCCAATCCACCATGCTGCAATGCTTTGTGACTGAATCTGCAACCCTCTTAAAGTCGATGCATTTCAAATTTGAAGATCTTGCAAGACATCTCAAGTGTTGACGTCTTGTAAAAGTCCTGTTGGTGCATTTGGCGTTCAGACATCAGACAACGTACACCTGTGGCACAAAACGCATTCCTAAAGATTTCTGGCATGTAACCGTTTTCTCGTATGTTTGATTAGAAGGAGTTTTCATACAATGCAGACGAATTGGGTCATCGAACGTGATACGAGGTCAAATGCGGCGAACGAAGGAATCTTGCGGGAATGTTCTTTTCCTTTTGCGATTAAGATTGACATGTCTCTGATCACATTATGTGATATTCTATCTACTGAGGCAAGTGATACCCAACGTCATGTGTTTTTTATCATATTCTGGGTTAGTTTTTGAGATAACAAAGGTTTGTCGAAGAAAAAAGGCTTGAAATGCATAAAATAAGTTTACTTGTCTTGGTCCACACTCACTGACAGAACAGCAGTGGTATGCGAAAGCGTGTCAGGGGCTGAACCATATTCACCGTCATCATTTCAGCGATACCAAATAACTTTCCTTACAGTCATGTTGCACACAGTTCAAAATATGTAAATTAGGAATTCATTTGCTACCGTTAAAGATACGGTGACCTGTCCTAAATAATGCAGAAGTAAGCTTCAAGACATATCGGTTTGATGTACTTATGCCTAATTTTCTTTCAGGTTTGGAAAGACGGACGGAATTTAGGACGGCCCACGTTGACGATGAGGTCAATGGCAACTTTACCCAGGATTCCATGAACCATCAAATACTGCACCAGCTGGGGGCCCAGGACGCCGTCGCAGCAGCTCTCGTGACAAAAGGAAGGATGGACACTGGGCGATAGTTACCACGGTTGGTTTGTGACAATAGGGGGAATTGACACTGGGCGATAGTTACCACAGTTGGTTTCACGCCCAAATCGCACGACGAGGACCACGGTTGGGATTTTTATTCACATCGGGAAACATCGGATGCGATGAAGGCGTACACTTTGAACAAGTGGGGATAATTTCATCGCGGCATGCTGATAATGATTCCTCATGTGCGTGTACACGAGTCTGTCCTTGCTCCACGCCAACTATGCCCGCGAGCCTAGTCATGCTCCAAGTCACCATGTCCACGAGGATGTTCTTGATCCACGCCACTCACGTCCTCAAGTCCGTCTTTGCTCCACGCCACCTATGTCCACGAGCCCTCAACGACGACATACTGCGGCATGGGGCCCCACCAGACGACCAGGGGCCATCGCTCAAGGCTCGAGCACCCCTATAAATGGTGTCCGCGGGGTGCAGGATGAGGCCTTAATGAAAAAAGAAGGTTGAATAACTCAATTCTCCTTTGCTGTTTACATCATTCCGTTCGGTAACATGAGCTTGGCGGGTCCCGGTACATGGGTCGGAGTCATGCTAAGCACACGTCACGTGACGCAGTCTCACCGAAAAGTGCAGTTAGCTTTTCCAGTTTAGCCAAAATTATGGGCTCTGCATGAGCTACACTTTAGTAGCAGCGTATGTTCGTCAAGGGCGGACGACCAAATTGGACATCAAGCTACCCATTTGTTAGCCCCTTCGTCCAACCCGTGCACGGCGGTCCCGTCCACCAAGGGGCGTGTCAACCGCAGCCGACAGCGCAGCCGGTACGAAGCTCTTGGTGGACAGGGCGGTCCCTGCCGCTGGGTGCAGACGCTCGCGCCGCGGCGCTGCCTCGGCAATGACCGGGTGAAGGTCACTCCAGGCGAAGGCCTTCACGTGGCGCCGTCAGTAGAGCGAACGATGGCGTTGTGTAGCAGACCGGCCACCCACTGTCTGCGGCAGGCTGCAGCCGTCCAGGGATGTCGGCCGTGTAGTGGTTAAGCTGCATGTCTGGCAAACGGAGGTACGTTGTTCGTCCTGCCAGGGTGGGAGGCAGGTGGCGCCACATAGCCTCAGTAACTGAGTGCGTTGCAAATGCCCCAAAGATACGCTTGAATTTTGCAGACTGCAGATATTCAGGGCATGACTCATCGAGACACCGCGATCAGTGTTCAAACTTCGACCCAAGCAGAACCGCTACAAGGCGGCCCTCATGGCCGAAGTCGGTTTTTTAAAGGCCTGGCGCTGGTTGCATTCCAAGTAGCAAACATTCCAAGCTGGTTCCAAGAAGGCCGGGTGCGTTTTCATCTCCTCTACATTTTACTGCTCCACTCCCTTCCAGCCGACTTAGATGTCCCCGGTGTCTCCTTCAAATCTTGTTTTCCAAAGGCACCTGACAACGTGCGTCGCGTCCCTTTTATGAAACGCCAGCGACTGCGTTGGCCATATTGGCGCGCAGGGGCCATGACTCAACCGGGATTTGAATTTGCTTAGAAACTCAAGATGAGTTCAGCACACCTGACACTATTGAATCCTTCACACAGCTTCGCTCCACGCCTACTCTTTTGCTGTATTTTAGACTTCATAAGTCCTCGTTTACCTTCAGTGATATTCGTTCATTTCTCTTAAACTTGCTTGGCTGCAACATTTGCCTCCGCTTGCTGGCGCCACTTTTTCCCACCCCCACCTCACCGTCGCTCCCATTTCTCACGCGCGCGCGGTTTCAAGGCGGCGTCCGAACTCAATACCTTTGCGCGGCGCACACCACCTCCAGAGGAAAAGTACGGACGGCCTGAATGACCTCCAGCCACTTTAACGGCCCACGTGGCTGCAGACGTGATGAGATGCGCCGCCGTCGATGACATCCTTAGTGAAAATGCAATTACTTCGGTCGCACGTGACGACTTCTGTCTGCCGTCACACGATCGACAGAATTTCACTGTGAAGATCGATAGGATCGAGCGCTTATGCATCACGTATCCGGCCTTAGATCCAATTCAAAATGCGCTCCTCCGACATTCCAGTATATTGGCACACGGATAGTACTTCAACATCTTGACTGGCTGAAAGGTTCAGCCCTAAACACAGCCTCGTGCTACACCTTGAAACTATTGTGAATCACACACATCCAGCCGTGACGTCAGGGTATCCCATTTTACATGCCACTGGCCACTGCCAACTGGGTGTACTCGTGCGCGTCCAGAGTTCATTCAACGCGCGGAGCGACATGCGACATGCAATCAGTACTTTGTGGTATTCACCCAACGAACAATGCAGAGGGCATCACAGCGCGCGGCCAACAACAGTAACGAAGCGCGTGTTGGCTTGATGTACAGGCGATTTTCACGTGGCGTGTCGGCCTGTCAAACGGCAGACAGTCTCGCTGATAAATGGTGCCTATTTTGGAGCTGGCCGGCTTGCTGCAATATTGTGAGCCCGCTAATAAAAGCGCGGCGATCTCTCCTCTAGCCGGAGCGTTTCGCAACAGCGCGATCGATGAACAGAGTGCAGTGGAATTCGTTACATATGTGGACCCGGGCAGCCCTGTCCCAACCGCCAAGTGAGCAAGTGCCGTCAGCGAAGATTAGATATACCCATTCACAAGTTTCGGCAACTGTCGGAATACTCGCGTGTCGGTGACATCAAGTGTACATCGCAGATTGGGCGGAATTCGGCCTAGTCCATGTCGCCACGGAAGTCTCGCCTGATGCATTCACAACAACTGCGACCCAACTCGCTAGGCAAGGCAGCTCAGTCTGGCGGAAAACGTATTTGCGTTCTTTTCATTGGCTTGGAGGCTGAGAACGGAGGAGGATGCACGAATATCCCATCGCAAGTCGACTAGAATGTTGAACCATCCACTTCTGCACAACACATCCATTAAACGATGAGCAGTTTTACACACACCCGGCCTGCCTTAGCTTGTCTTTTCGCGGGGACTCCTGATATGATGAACGCCTTTTCACACGGCTAACGAACAGCATTTCCCGAAATTCTGCCCACGTTAGGCCCGTAGACAAAATGACCACGACTTGCTCGCATTATTAGCTTGATGGTAGGGATATCGTTGCGGGAGAATTGACGTTATCAAAGGAAGTGACACAAGTAAGTAATACAACCGTCATATGGGTCCGTCAGAGCGCCTGACGGCCGATTTTCCTCGAAACACAGAAGAAATCAGACAGCCTGAACTGAACAGAAGCTGCGAAATGAAGTATTGGCGAATGGCCATCATGCCATGGACCAGTTGACCATACATGACCATCATGCCATTGACCAGCTGACCATACATGACCATTACAATTATGTCGGCGATAATGTAACTTGGTGCTCACTCAGATAAAAGCAAAGCCACACGGCAGCGGGCAAACAGCAGTTCGGGCGTCAGGAACATAGCAACACGGGAGCAAAAATATGGCGTATGCGAACACGCCAAGAATGAATATAAAGCACATAGACCGTCTTCCTATGCCATTGATTCGACGGTTTCGCACACGGCGACAGAACAAACCGACAGTCAACTGTAACATCGAATAGATGTGCCGCATTTTGTAACAGCATGGCGCCACCCTTTTGGTCGGCGGACAGCAGGGCAGCCCGTGTCAAGTTCAGCACGGTTCACCTCCGGCTCGGTAACGAGCGCGGCCCGGGCGGCCCGGCAGCGCCCTACCCGGCTGAAGTAAGCTCCTCGGAGATCACCGTCTCCGGTGGCAGCGACGACACGCCAGAGGTGGACGGCTGCTCGCTGGCCGCGTCGGCCAGCGCTCGCCGCTCGCAGAAGCACACCGATATATTGATAGGGTGCAGAAGGGAGAGCGGCTCGGCGGAGAGCAGCTCAGCCTGCGGCCCCAGCGCCGCCAGCTCCACCGTCATCGGCAGGTACAGCGAGCCCTTGCTGTGCAGTGCGAACACGGGCACCAGCTGCGAGGGCTGTGAGCGGCGGCGCGTCCGCTCGGCGCCGCTGCCCAGCAACGTCGGCTTCCACTTGTCTGCTTCGACGGCGGCCGGCGGCACGCTCTGGCGGCAGCGCTTCGAGCCAAAGCCGTCGGCCATGTCGGCCGAAAAGCGCTTCTTCATGTTGGTCTTGAACTTGTACATGAAGCCGCCGCACTCCTCCGAACTGCGGCTGCTGCTGCTGCTAGGCGGGTGAGCCCGCTTCACCTCGCCTGCCACCTGGCGGCAGGAAACACAAGCTTGTGCACGACATTCGACCTCGCGGAGGCGGACGGCCCGACGCGTTTAAGCCCAGCCACAACAGTATGCATGCGCTATCTACAACAGTGCGATGCTCCTTGCTTAGTGTCGCGTACGATGTGCATGATTTGCACGAACTTGATTCGAACCTTGACTCCTTTCATTATTGCATAGCTCGATTGCACCAAGGGATGCGGCTTAAAATACACTGATGATGTTGTTGCCATTGGCGTTTTAAGGTGCACTCAGCCGCTAATTCTGTCAGGCGTTACTTGCGTCTTACCATGCTAGGAAGGGCGGACACTGCAGGTTACCGAACCCAAAACCCGACCGTCAGCAGAACAAAACCGAACCCTCTCGCTTCCTAGACGCGCATGTGAACCATAATCTTGCATGCACGGAATGGCATTGGCACGCTGATTCTGGTATGCGAGCGTAGGATAATACACTTTGCTGAAATTACCGAGCGCAATGTGCATGCATCGAAGTCGACTTCCGTTTAATTGCCGTGGCATCAGTTTATTGCTTTTGAGACAAAGCCAAAACTTCTATCAAGATCAAAATTGCATGGCATCATCATTTTGCGACAAGTATTTCCTGCGTTCAGACTGGATCATCATAACGGGTTGATGCCGGATATGAACCCGTCACGGATTAGGAGCAAGACGCCAATCTCATGGTCAAGCAAAATCGGGACAACCAGCACGTAAGAAAGGACGGAGTAACAGCAGAGTAAATGACATTGACAGTTCTACAGCGCAGCATCGAGAAATAGTACAGAATCAACCAAGATTTGTTACGACTTTGGTAGCTTGGAAGTTATAAAATCGCTGTTGAGTGATGTTTCGGCCGCATGCCTTCCCCAAAACCTTCATCGTTCCACGACCTGACGAGAATTGATATGAAACTTGACTTCAGACCTGTGCCATTAAAAACAACAGTGAGCCAATTTCATCGCCATTATTTTGGAGCGTTAGACAACGACCACCAGCGAGGATTTTACATGCTGGCCCTGTGGTACAGAACCTACCGATACATATACACGGATTCACACGATACGAATACAACTACTGGAAATACGCGCACATGCGCCTTTTTCACCACATGCCACGCCTCGTCACTCACCACGCCTGCTTAATCAGCCGTGCGGAGCTCGACGCATTTAAGTCTAGTCATCATCTGATCACCAGAAACATACCGACGACCGTCCGTCGCGATGACTAGTGCCTCGCATATTATTCTAGTCAGAGAGACACATGACTGCCTGGGCTCCGGGCGGCACGTTCGGTCAAAATCAGAGTCGTCTCCGAATGGGCCTTCCTTGTCTGGTTGTTACCATCACACTCTCATTAAATCTCGGGCAAATGGGAGTCATGAACTCTTCGACACAGCTGACGTTGCTTCCATTTTGTTCGCGTAGTTCACGCTACATTTTTATGACCCACAGTTTGCGATGAATAGTCCATTTGAAATCCCGATTTGCAAGAGTGACGTTTATGTCTCCCGTCATTGATCATTGATCTTGACGCTTCGATAAGGGATATTTCACCAAAGCCGTTTTGAGCTCGATGTCATTCTTCCATACCACGCCTGAGCACATTTTCAGTTTTCAATGGTATGTTCAGCCTCCCCAACTAATCGTTTGTCCCAGTGAGGTACTGTTAAGAAGCTGCGCAGTAACCTGGGGCGGCTGTGCCGCCAGTGGCCGTGTCTGCCGGCGTCGCGACGGAGCCGACTTCGACCGGAGCCGCGCTGGAGCTGCACGGCGCGCGCGTCATCGGAGAACGAGGGGATGTCGGGCCGCACGGCCACAACGGCTGCGGTGCTCCCGCTCGGAGAGGGACACCGACTGTCGCCCGTTGCCCGCCGCCCTTAGGCCATCACCGGCTTCTCGGGTGCCGCCGCGCTGTGTCGCGCCTCGGCCCCGGACCCTCTGAGCGCCGGCCCACCTGGCGAACGGTCAGAGCCTGCAATCAGCCGCACCTCCCGCACCAGTTCTGCCAGGCCAACCGGCCCGCCGGGCGATCAGTCAGAGCCTGCAGTCAGCCGCACCTCCCGCACCAGTTCTGCCAGGCCAACCGGCCCGCCGGGCGATCAGTCAGAGCCTGCAGTCAGCCGCACCTCCCGCACCAGTTCTGCCAGGCCAACCGGCCCGCCGGGCGATCAGTCAGAGCCTGCAGTCAGCCGCACCTCCCGCGCCAGTTCTGCCAGGTCAGCCGGCCCGCCGGGCGATCGGTCAGAGCCTGCAGTCAGCCGCACCTCCCGCGCCAGTTCTGCCAGGTCAGCCGGCCCGCCGGGCGATCGGTCAGAGCCTGCAGTCAGCCGCACCTCCCGCGCCAGTTCTGCCAGGTCAGCCGGCCCACCGGGCGATCGGTCAGAGCCTGCACTCAGCCACACGCCCCGCGCCAGTTCTGCCAGGCCGGCCGGCCCACCGGGCGATCGGTCAGAGCCTGCAGTCAGCCACACCTCCCGCGCCAGTTCTGCCAGGCCAGCCGGCACACTGACGGTCGGCCACGCCAACGTCCAGTCGTTAGTCCCGAAGATCGACTGCGTTCTTCGGACCGTACGCGACCATGACCTGGGCGCCATGTGCATTACCGAGACGTGGCTCACTGGCCCCGTGATCCCGTGAAGGACGGGATATTAGTGTTTCCCGGCCACAGGCTGGCGCGCAAGGACCGGCCGACCCGGCGCTGCCGGGGTCGCCCTGCGGCCGCGAACCGTAGTGGTGGTGCTGTTATCTTGTGCCAGGAGCACTTCAACTGCAGCGTTACCAATCTCCGGCGCCGGCGCAGTATACGAGTCGCCGTGGATGTCGATGAGTGGCAGTGGGCAGCTCTCGGCCACCGCCGGCGTTGTCTACAGTCCTCCGTCTCAGCCGACATCAAGCGGCCTTGACGAGATACATGATCAACTAAGAACGGCTGTCACCATCGGCAAACGTGTTTTTTGTTGTCTCGGCGATTTAACATTAACGCGCCCCGACAAGCCGTCTGTGCGTCGTTGCATGTCCATTTTAAACGATCTGAGCCTTGTGCAGCTTATTAACACACCAACCCATTCTAAGCCGACCGCGACTCTCCTAGACCACGAAATTACCAACATGCCCAAACTAGAGGACACAGCTCTGGTGTCGCTGCCGCTGATTACGGACCATCTCACCACCATCATTCGTGCCCCGTTCAGGCGGCAGCATTTACGTCCTGTTTCTTTTCTTATTCTACTCCTGGCGCGAAGTCTGCTGGGACGAGCTCAGTCTGCATTTACTGCAGGTGGACTGAGACCCGTTGTACCGGGCCGTGGGTGCGGCGGGAAAGCTGGAGGAGTTCATGTGCGTATGGCCAGGTGCCATTGATATGCACCGTACCCTGAAAACAGTGACACCCGGCCGTCCACGCTGCTCCTGGACTGAGACAATCCCATTCTGCTGTGTGTGGTGCGGGATTGCTACCACGCTTGCCGGTCATGACGCAGGTCCGCTATACAGACCGACCGCATTGAATATCGGCGTCTGTGAAACCGGGTTAAAGTTTGCTGCACTCAGACCAAGCGTGACTTTCCATGCGCCAGCATGTGAACCGACGGGCCTAAGACCGGGCTAATTTCTGGCGGACTATCCATAAATCTAGACATAGACCCTCTAGGGGAGGGGGGAGGAGGTGCGCCGAGGAGGCAATGCCCGCTGGCATAGCCGACGATTTCAATCGTCACTTCATCTCAGCTGGCTCAAAAATCGCGGTTGAGCTAGCGGCGAGCAGTCGGGGCGTCCACCTCCCCCTCCAAGACCACCGTGCGTAACCATAGCAAGGCTAGCTTTACACCCTGTGACCTACCCGAGCTTGCGAAATCTATGCGTGCAGTGTCTTCATCTAGGGCCGGTTGGAGCCGATGGTGTGCCGCTGCTTGCGCTAAGAACTTTTCGCTGTCATGGGGCCTCAAGTGCCTCATCTAGCCAATACTTCCATCGTCATCTGCGCCTTACCCTGTGCGTGGAAGTTAGATTCAGTTCTTCCCATCCAAAAGTCCGGTGTTTGTGACGCTGCAAGCAATTTTAGACCTAAATCATTTTGATCAGTATCGTCAAAAATATGAGAAAAGATTGTCTGTCAGCAGTTGTCCGCATGTCTTGATGCCCACGGCATCTTAACCCCTTCACAGCTTCATATATATGCATATATATACATACATATATATATACATGTATATATATACATATATATACATGTATACATACATATATATATACATGTATATATATACATATATATACATGTATACATATATATACATATATATATATATATATATATATATATATATATATATATATATATATATATATATATATATGTCGGACATGTCGTCGCCGTCACCTCCACAAACTTAAGTCGAGTTTTCGACAGCGTTGACCACTGCGTCCTCCCGACCAAGCTGCAAGCCTACAGCATCGATTCGCGATGGTTTACAAATTATTTTGATGGACCACGGCAGGTGGTGATAGGTGGTTCACTATCCATTCCCTTATCCCACGGTGTCCCTCAGGAGTTCCTGGTGGGCCCAGTCCTCTTCAGCATCTTTGCGAACGACCTTCCATCATGCCTGCCTTACAGGCGTCTGGTTTCCTACGTCGACGATATCCATCTCCTCGACTCCGCCCACCCAGACCACTTGTCCACCCTAAAATCGCGTCAGAAGGAAACCATCCTTGCCCTCCAATCCTGCTTCACTGCCAATGCCCCGAAGATGAACCATACCAAGTCCACTCTTTCCTTGTTCGCACGCCCCAGGTCATCATAAATCATCCTTCCATGTTAACATCTCCCACTTAATGTTAACCCCTCGTCGTGCGTGAAGATGCTGCGAGTGACTGTAGATCGCACCCTTTCCTGGGAAGAGCACATAAGCAAATTAGTTAAAAAGTGGAACTCCATCCCGTTTTATCAATATACAATTTGTCATCATCTCAGACCCAAAGCTCGCAAGCTCCTCTTCCAGGCCCATGTTTTCCCCCCACATCCTGGACTGCCTCTCAGTCTGGGGCGGGGTCGCCGCCTGCTATCTCGGCCGGGTGCCAAAAATCGTGAATGTCGCGGTCAGGATCGTCTTTGGGACGCGGGGTCAAGATCATATTTAATCGGTGGTAGGATCGCTGATGTGGCGCAGGATCAGTAATCTTGTCGCGCGCCACGACCACATTGGCGTCTTCAGGGCCCTAATTGATCTCCGTGTCCCGATGCGCATCACGTGGTCGGCGGTGGCCGGCGCCCCTGAACTGCCGCCTTCCGACTGCCTGTATCGCGCAGGGTGTTCTCATATCGTGCGGCATCGTCCTGGAACCAGCTGCCGCCGGCCGTTGTGGTCTCCCGGAGGCGTGCTGCGCTCAGATCTAAACTTGACCAATGTGAAAAAGAGGGTTTTGTTTGACTTTTTGGGCCTTTTTCAAGCTCTCGACGTGTTTTTATCACCACCGTGTCTGAGTTTCTATCGTGTTACTTGTAACCCATTGCCTCGAATAAAGCATTAAATCATGCGTATCGAACGATTCGCAATAAATACATGACGTGACATGTCATCCGATATTTTTTTCGGTTTCAGCTGCCTCTTCCCCCACCTCCACTAGATTTCCGTAGCTCTTCCAACGATCTCCCGAAATGTTGTGGAGAGTAACCATTTCAACATAGCAAAGCCCCTCTTTTGGTCACGCTCTCGAATTTTTTACTATGACTGGATAGTTGTTCAAAACCCTATGTAACATATTTACAATAGTGTCGTGCTTAGTAAAGATGGAGATCTCATATCTACAGTGCAAATTTGGAGGATTACGTATTTGATGTACTTGGTAAAGAGCTCCGTTCCAAACGTTGTACCGTTGTTATATGTAATTGCACATAGGTAGTAAATTGTAAATAATGCAATAGCAAATAAGTCACCGTGCAATTTTTGTGAAATTGTAATTGTTCATCACTTCTCCCATCACCGGTGTGGCCAAATGGTGTGATGCCCCTTTTCACCCCCAATATGACCCACAATGAAAGCTACGTTTGGGTTCTGTCGGTTGATAAACTCCAAACACTTATCAACACCTACGCTCTAATTACTTATCAACCTCCGTATGTTACTAGGGAATCATCGAATTACCCCACTTGGAAAACTGGTTTGGACGGGCGGGCAAGCAGACCCTCCGTTTTAAACCGGTCTAAAAGCATTTTCAAGAAAGGAGGCACACATAGGTTTTTGATTCCCCCTCACTATCTGCCAATATCGGTAATTTGCATACGGAAAAACGCTGCCCCGGAAACGTTCAATGAGGCCGCAAAGGGCCTCTTTTGACGGGTCAAAAGTACATGAAAATGTTCGTCTCAATGTTGACGCGACAAAATCTAAAATATTTCTTTCAAATTCAAATGTAAAGTCGGAGCCAGAGTTACCTTTCAAATCTATTCCAGTAAATCCATTTCGCCATGCTGTTTTGACGAGGCTCCTGACCGGAAACTGTTGATACACTGCCATCTCTTTACGTTCTCCATGTACTGAGAGGAACAAAGCTTAGTTAAGTGCCCTTATAACTGACGGCATTGATTTGATTGGTGCCACGTTTTTGTACCAGTGTGATTGTGACTCATTCAGGAGTAGGTGGCGACCACTTTGCAGAAATTTTCAGCTTTACTGAATTACATACACCCGACCTCTGCATCCAGGTGCAGCACTCACGTAGCAGTCCAGAATCTGGCACGTTCAAAGAATGACATCACTCATCCATAGCGCTCTTTAAATGACCCACACACCGATTGCGGTCTGGAGAAGGAACAAGACAAGAGTAAGAATACGACCAAGTGTCGCCATGAAGAGTTCGGGCAGACACTGGTCGCACCCTGGGCTGTGAGCGAGACAACACACGGCTTAAATGGACACGGGAGACGTAAGCATGCAAAAGCCCATTACGCCAGACCATGCTGAGAATACGAACAGTGTCCGTCACCTGCCGACGAAGCGTTCTGTGATCACTCACGTGCAGAAGTTTGTACAGGTGCGGCTCATCGAAGTCAGCGTCGGCGTCGTCGGCAGGGTACCGTGACATCGCGCCGGGACCGGCGCTTGGCTCCGGGTCGCCGCGCTCTAGCGGGAGCCGAACCAGCGCCTGCTGGTTCAGGTCTGAAGAGACGACAAAATCGCGGCCAGTTGACCGGTCCCCCCGACCGCCGACACTGCAGGCCGCCTAGCCTTGGAACATGCGTTCGCGTCCCTCCACCCATCACCACAGCGGGTGTTAGCCGTTATCCTAGTGAAGGTGTGAGTATGCACCTGCCGTTTTTATCACTGCTAGCATGGACGCAGCCCACATCTGTGAGCCGGCCGTGCGCAGTTTGCATGATGGTGAACGGTCATATCAAACATCAGCCTTTTCACCGAGCCTCAGTTGCGGGTTTTGTATTAACATTTCCAAAACACTTAGGTCGCATGAATTATGTGTTCAGGTGGCTTTGATGTCAGAGCCTTCGCTAAGTGCAGCTTAAAGGGACTGTCCCGCTTCTGGGGCATAATACAAAAATGCCCTAATGAAACCTCAGGACCAGTTGCGCCTTATGATAGAACTGAGAAGTGCTTCTGCAGCCCGTCAGTACATAATGAGAATATCAACGTTAATTACTTTCGAGTCCAGATCGCGCTGCGAACGCTTTGTAAGAGCACTACGCTTCTTCCCCGCATTCGTGACCACTGTTGTCATGCCAACCGCCGCGCGAACCTCCACTGGTGCGAATAAGAATATCTTTGTGTTTGGCCCAGCGGGCGGCAAGAGCCTGTTACCTAGAAGTGCACTGGTTAAAATTTGAACCAGTGCGTCGCCATGGACCATGTGCTACTCCCATTCCCGAAAGCCAAAGTGCACCTCGAAAAGAACCACTCTGGTTAGCATCATAGGGTAGAAATCGAAGCCACCGAATAACATTTCGTTACATACACGGAATAGCAGCTTAATGCGCACATGTCTTTTTGTCTCAACAGTGTTGCAAGGCTTTGTAGCATCTAATGCACACACATTTCGAAAACAGATTAATGCGTTGCAAACATTACAGAGCACGCACGTCGGAAAAAGCAGGTCAAGTGAAATGTATCGTTTTCATAGCGGTGAGCAGGCGGACAAGGGAGATTTCTCACGCAGGGCCGGCTACTAGAAATCGACATTCTGAGCTATTCAGGACGCTTACGAGACAACTGACATTTCTGATAAAATCTTACTCATCCGATGTAGCGAAAAGTATCAAAAGGCGGAATACTCCCTTTAATGCATGACAGCTAACATTACCACCGAAGTGGCGATGTCCCATTGCCCGATGTTTAAGTGGGCCGAAATGCGGAATACTTTGTACAGCCTGCCAATTAAGTAATGTTGCCAGGGTTCAACGTGAGATGCAAGCTCGTGATGTGGCCGGCCATAATAAAAAATTCCCGTCCTTTTCACGGAAAAACGATGCCTTTGACGGGAATCGAACCCACCGGACCATGTCTCTCGAGCCATGTCCGTTGACCAACGGATGAGATAAGACCGTTGTGGGTACCGCCATGTCACTGGGACTGCGTAATACAGTGGCCACAGTTATCATCAACCTGTCTGTAGCTGTGTTTTTGAGTGTTGAATCAAGCCGAAGAACACTAATCTTTGGACCAGCAACCCTTCCAGAACATGCCTATCATATCCGGTCCAATTTTTGACGGTGAGACTGAACCGTCTCGAGCTCAATATGCTTCTGAGAGACAATAAGGCAGTAGCCGTGACACTGCCGCTGCCCCTGTGGCCTGGTAGTGTGGGGAAGATCAGCGCAGACGGCGGGCGTGAAGAGCGACCGCAATCTGAGCCCCAGCGCCACAGCGAAAGCGCCCCAATGCGAGGCCGCTGGCGCGGTCAGCGCGCGAAGCCCCGACGCTCGGGTCGATGCCGTGACCGGTGCGCAGCGTCGCAGACTGAGACCCTGACCTGGTGGCGCGTAGCGCATCTCCCGCGGCGCCGACGAGCTGGGCCACTGCGTGCTGCCGCTGTTACCGTCGCTGGACGAGCCGTTGCTGCTGGCGTTCCCGTTGTAGCCGCTCGTGCTGCCACTGAGCGAGCCGACGCGAGAGCCGTGGTGCGGCCGCGGTGGAAAGCCGCCTGCGCGCAGGCGCCGAAGCCATGGTTAGCTCGCCCAACCGATCTCAGACAGCCAAGCTGCGAGTTCCACAAAAGGCGTCCGCAATAGACAATGTGTTATTGTGCCAACTTAGGCACCAGGCCCGTCCAAGGCCGGCTGGTTTTCGATGTGCCCTCGCTGACCTCTGAGCACGAGTGCGATGTGCTCGTGGAGGTGGTTCATGAGACGGGCGCAGAGGGGGTCGCCGGGTATGAAGCCCTCGTGCTCCACCATCCACTGCATCGTCTCGCGCAGACATTCGCGGTAGCCTTCCTCATAGCGGTTGGAGATGGTTGCGCGCCGGCTAGCCGTGTCGGTATCAACGCCATCTGTTGAAAAACAAGGTGACAATGACCAGCGAGCTGTCGAGAGCAGAGCGCGCGCCACCAACGACATGCCCTCCCCCGCTCTTAGGTGTCACACTGAAAACCGGCAGACCGGCACAAATGTTGGCCATGAAGCAATCGCCAGACACCTCCAGAAGGATGTCAGGAAAAAGGGACATCGCTGCACTGAGCCCGTTCTGACGTGCACAAATAATGTCTGCCTGCTCAACACCCGAAAGCACGCGATCAGGAATTAAGATCGCTGTACCCAGATCCTCCGTACCCTCGTCCATAACTGCACATAAATATCCAGGTAAGATCGAGTACCGAGTCAGTCACGTCTCCCCACCGAGAGATTAGATTTGGTTTCAATTAGAGCCATTCCTACCAGTGAAGGCTATTTCAGGGCAATGGGATGAAAGAGAAAGGATAATGGTGCGGCAAAACTATATGCGCCTAGGGGTCCATCCACCCAGACTTGATCCGTATATACACCCTTACACGGTGTAGGTACTTGGCGCTCGGACAGTACCTCCACCAGGGGCACTTCAGCGCACTCGTGGCTGTACCACCCGTCTTGCCCCAGGCAAATGAGGCGTTACGAGAATGCAGGATAACTAAAGAGTGGAGAAAGAAGGGCGGATACACCAGGAAATACTGAGGAGAGCCAGGAAGCAATGAAGGCGCACAAGGGCCCCAGGACATCACGCATGCCGTTATTGAAAGGTGTTGATAGCTCACTTTCAGCAGCAGTGCAAATATTTGTTTCCGAGATAGCTGTTTCCGGTTAGAAGCGAACGCTAACTCAAACCGAACATGGCGACCGGCGGCCCACCAACGTCATTACTAAAAAACTCAGATACTCGAGGCCAAGCGAGGCTACTATCGTTGGCACCCCTGAAATCCACCGACTAGCCGAGCTTGTCATCAGAGTGTGGGAGACACCCGCGTGATCGTCATGATGGCGGCCATTTGTGAAGATCGTGTGCACTTGATAAGTAGACCATGCCACATATTACGTTCTCGTTTCCGACATCGTCAGTTTTCATGCTGAAATGGCCGACCTTCAACGCACCAAGAGCAAATGGACAACGAGAATACCAGAAGACACAAGAGTCAACATATGGTGCGCGGTTCGGTGTGTGACGAGGCAGAGGTGGTGAAGTTTTGTGACAAAGGGGCGTGGCACACTGTTACTCTTTATGCTGTGTTTAATTACCGTGATAATGCCGAATGGGGCCGAACAATATTTGATGTGAAGCGTAACGTACGTCGTTAGTATTGTGATTCATAGTTATGACGTTATGATTTTCTATCTCGATACGATGATCATGATTGCATACTGTGGGTACTTGCAAAGCCTCCCTGGGTATACAAACGCTGGGTGTTGTAAATGCCCCCAAGTTTCTATGTGACCTTAATCTGCTTATTGGTACCGCGATAGTTTTACGGCTGGGAAGAAAACGTCAAATAATCTTAGTGCATGTGCGGACCAGAAGTAAAATTATAAGAATCACAATCTTGTTGCATCGTGGCCTGGTCTCAGAAGGGTTATATCAGGCAACTTAAACGCTTGAGTGCATACATTGTTCAATGGAAATGCTCAATGTGACAAACAATTCGTCCGTTTCGCTCGGTATGTTGGCATGTTTTTCGAAAACATTGATTTCATTTCTCTTGCGGCTATCGTCCCGGCCTTTCATCCCTCCCCCCCCCCCCCCCCCCCCCCCCACACCTCCTCGATGGAACCACCAGCGACGCCAGCAGCCATCTGTATATCACAGGTTATATTTTCCTGTTTGCGTGTTTACAGAGAGCAAATTAGACTAAAACCAGTACCTATTAGTTTTTCCAGTGGGCAACCACATGGAGACTGAAAAGCGCACAGGACGATGTGTATTGATTGGAGCCTTCCATTCGCACGCTTTCCAGCTGATTCATAGCACGCATCGCTGGAAGACCGCATCACTTCCCTCTTGTGAAATGTCAACGGGACCATGGCCATGGCCATGGCTGCCGGCCGGCCCTGGCGGCGGCCCCGGCGCGCGCGCCACGCTGGCCGCCGTGTCACGTTCGACGTGGCGTGATCCGGCCGGCGCCGGCGGCTGGGAGGCGCGCGCGTCGGCTGTGACGCGTGCCCACCCAGTGCCCGAGTCACGTGGCCGCCATGTGACCGCGCAGCTCCGGCCGTCGGCAGCGGCGTCTGTTCACGGTGCCGACGACGCGGGGCCACGCTAACGAGCGGCGCCACGGCCGCCGAGGAGCGGCCGGGTCGCGTGCGGACGCCGTCCGACGCGTGCGTCGACAGATTTGGCGCGCGCTCGGCGTGGAGCACGTGGACGTCCATGCGGTGAAGCTCCTGCTTTGACGCGCTGTTCGGTCCGCACACCGCGGCCTGGCCGATGCGGCCACTGGCGCGTTTTGATCCACGGTGTATTCGCCCGAGACAAGTAACCCATGAGTTCTGTACCGTTTAGGGTTCGCACCGACCCGGGCGACAAAAATTGTACGTGACGATGAGTAGAATCTCTACTGGACGCGCAGAATCTTTTCCACAACTCGACTGGAGTGGGGCAGGAACGGCGCAACAGGTTCAGTTGCAATGAGGTCAATTTACAGATAAATAGGTTATAATAGCTTACTTTGCGGCCCAGGACCGACCAGGAATAGTGAAAATGTGTTTTATACGCTGCAATGATCATAAATTGCACTATCCATTTTTAAGCCTGCTCATCGAACCTGCAAACAAAAAACTTTGTCCTTGCATGTGCAGGTACTGTCACGAAAACTCCAACGATGTAAAAAACGAACAACGCTGCTAATGCGCACGGGAAAAATTATACGTGGCGTCACGTAAAATAAGATATTCTTGCTGCGCCGTGAATACATCCTCAGTGACTGGCGGAAGGGGAACGTGATCCTGACGTGGGTGTGGCGGAAGTCGGTCGCGACGTCATACAGCACTTCTTGACGGGGAATTGCAATTAAACAAACCTCAAATCACACACTTATAAGAACATGCTCAGTTCCGGCACATGGTCATCTAAAAAAATTATCGTGTTATAGCTAAAAATTAGGACAGCCAATTTACATTTTCAGTTATGACGTTTAGTATCAATGTAAATAGCCCTAAGAGGCCCATCTGATCGTTTTGTCTCCCTTCCCCCTCCCCACCTTCCCCTTCCCCTATTGGACCGGCACTGAATGCACTCAACAATAATGGAGGTTGCACTGACAAAGAAACTCCTAAGCATCAACACTTCCGAAATCCTGTGATAGTCAAGTTGCCAGCATGTTGACCCAGCAATACGAATTACCGCACACTTTTTCACGGAAGTATGTTCTATGTAATAACGAAAGCTATACTAGCTTGGTTGCCGTGTAGCCTTCAGCATTTCTCGGAATTCAACATGGCAGCCGCCGCCATCTTGAATGCTTACCAACTTTCTTATTTTGATCCGGATGACCTAGATGGTCGTGTAATATCTCTTAATAGGGGTTGTCGTGGGTGGCGAGTCCATTTCTGGACTTTTCTGGGCCACGATGTCTAATTCAACGGCAAATCACAGGTCGAGTATCAAACTCAGAGCAGACCTCTGACCTACAGTGTCACGAAATCTTAAGTGGCATTGAGCGTTTTACTACCAGCCAGCATGCTTTTCATAGTTATCATCATTATGTACACCTAGCCCCCTTCGTTTTCTGCGATGTCCATCTGTTTGCTGGTGCAACGACTATAGCGGGCGATTTCTCCGTAACAATTGCAGTAGTCTGTGCGCCAAAGGCCTGTGCTGTGCCTGTTGCAGCTGCAGCGTGCAGTGCTGTATGCGTTGCTTTCAGTGATGCGGTTGAAGGTCATAACACCCGAGAGCGTTTTGGGAGTAACTGCTGCTGTCAAGACGGCTGGCGTGGTGGGGGCTCCCATGCTCCAACCGAAGCTGGAAATATCTCTACTTTCTCGTCTTCGGGGGGGGGGGGGAGGGGGGGCACGGAAAGCTTCTTCGCGGGGTTAGGAATGTGGTGGGCCAGTCGAGTCTCTTAACTTTCAGCCAGGCCTTTTGCGGCCCCAGGAACTGGCCAGACGACGCGGTACAGCAGCTGACAGAAACCATCCACCATCTGATCTGCTGGCAACGCGGTCTCGCTATCCGAGTGGCACCAGGCGTACAAGCTGCCAGTAGCTCATCCCTGGCATGCTGGGAAAAGTGCTTCGTCTGTCTCATATGTCAGCTCAAATAACGAGCATAATTGTGGTGAACCGCTACGAAGAAATACGGCAACATTGCCTTGACACATTGCTATCCTAGTTTTTTTTTTCGCTGTGCTCTTTCCAAACTATTTATATATTTTTGGAAGCATGGGGACCGAGCCTGTACACACTAACATGGATGTGGTCTGACATAGGCTTAGTAAAACTTTTGACAATCATCCTACTCTTGCAATGGAAATTCCTGTTAATAAGTTCCAGCATCCGAAATGTCTTGCTCCTTGAAGCCACACATTGCTTTTCAGCCTTTAAATCCCTCGAAATCATAACCCTCAAGTCTTTTCCTTTCTTGATCTGGCGAACTCCCGGCCTCCCATTTTGTAGCTAATGCCCTCACTGCCAGAACTACCCAAATGCATCACCTCACGTTGATCATAGTTGAATGACACATGCCACAGAGAAACCAAGTTCATTAGCATCTCCAAGTCAAGTTTCAGTCGTTTTAGGCTTTACCTAGTCGGCATTTTTCGACGCCCCTATCAAATTAATATCGTCAGCAAATTTAAGCACCTTGCTTTCTAATCCCTTCGAAATATTATTCAGAAAGATTACAAAGAACAACGGACCCAACACCAACCCCTGTGAAACCCAGCTCTATGCTAGGTCACACTGAAATTTAATACCATTGAACACTACTTTTATTTCCTGTCTTGCAGCCCAGCTCTTACCCAGTCAAGAATGTTTTCCCCAAAGCCATGCAATTTTTAACTGATACGCTGGTATGCTACCCTATCAA